CGTCCCAGGATGTAAACTCCAGCGCTCTTAAAAAGAAGTATAATTCCGCCTCCAGGTCCTTCAAAAGTGTCATTGCCAAGGCAAAGTCAGAGCATCATCATCATCATTACAGCCCTTCATAAGTCAACTGCTGAACATAGGCCTCCTCCAAGGAATGCCACAAAGCACAGTCCAGAGCCACCTGCATCCATCGACTTCCTGCATGTCTTACCAGGTCTTCATTCCATCTAGAGGGGGGTCTCCCTACACTTCGCCTACCGGTACGAGGCTGCCACTCGAGAACCTTTCTTTCACATCGGTTGTCGGTTCTTCGAGTTATATGGCCGGCCCACTGCCACTTCAGCTAACCATTGGGCTATGTCGGTTACTCTGGTTCTACTGCGGATATCCTCATTTCTAAGTTTATCACGCAGAGAAACCCCGAGCATAGCCCTCTCCATAGCTCGCTGAGCGACCTTGAGCTTCCTCATACGGCCAGCAGTGAAGGACCACGTCTCAGATCCGTAAGTCATCACTGGCAATACGCACTGGTTGTACAATTTTGTTTTCAGGTTTTGAGGTATGTCTAACGAGAAGATGTGTCGTGGTTTCCCGAACGCTGTCCAGCCGAGTTGAATCCGTCGTCCTCTCGTTGGACTTACCTAGTCGGACTATTTGTCCCAGGTAAACATACTCGTCAACAACTTCGAGCTTATTGCTCCCAACAACTACCGGCATAGGTGTCACATGGACGTTAAACATGATTTTTGTTTTGTCCATGTTCATCTTAAGATCTATCCGTTGGGAGACACTATTGAGGTCATTGAGCATAGTGCTTAGGCCCTCCAGCGATTCTGCCATAAGGATTATATCGTCGGCAAATCGAAGGTGAGTGATATACTCGCCATTGATGTTGATACCGTATCCTTTCCTGTCCAGAAGCTTGAAAACGTCTTCCAAAGCAGCGGTGAAGAGTTTCGGGGATATGACGTCACCCTGTCTTACACCTCTCTGCAGTTGGATAGGTTTCGCACTCTGATTCTGTACTCGGATAGCCATCGTAGCCCTACTGTACAAACACTTCAGTACTTCGATATACCGACAGTCAACTTGGCACCGCTGAAGGGACTGTAGCACCGCCCAAATTTCGACGGAATCAAGGGCTTTCTCATAGTCCACATACGCAAGGGAAAGTGGCAGATCATACTCTTCTGTCTTCTGTACAATTTGCCGAAGGGTGTGTATGTGGTCCATGGTACTAAAGCCTGTTCGGAAACCGGCTTGTTCGGGAGGCTGGAAGTCGTCAAGTCTGCGTGCGAGACTATTCGTAATGACTCTCGAAAACAACACGTAGACGCGGCTCAGAAGGGAAATCGATCTGTAGTTCTTCAAGAGAGCGTAGTCGCCTTTCTTAAAGAACAAGACCACCGCACTTCTGCTCCATGCCTCCGGAGTAGTGCCTCCATGGAGGACGGAATTAAAGAGCTTCTTAAGGACTTCAAGTAACGGTTTTACACCCGCTTTCAAAAGCTCCGCTGTAATTCCATCCTCACCTGGGGCCCTGCCATTTTTAAGATGCTGGAGAGCCATTCTAATCTCGCTCAGACTGACGTCCGGGATATCTTCGGAATAGTGTCGGATAAGACTCGCTCTTGTATCGTTACTCACACTTGCGTGTGGCTCCAACGATGACGTGTACAGCTGCCCATAGAACCTCTCAATCTCACTCAAAATCTCAGGTGTCTCGGAAACGATGCTGCCACACTCGGTCTTCAGCTTTGACATTTGGCTCTTTCTGGCAGACAGATCTCTGGCAAAGAGTTTGGAGCCTTGGTTCCGCTCGATCGCTTCTTCAATACAAGCTGTATTGAAGTTGCGTAAGTCCCGCCGCATGCATTTGGAGATTTGTCTGTTCAGTTGACTGTATGCTGTCAAATCTGTTGAAGACTATGGCTTCATCTCCCGTCTAACAGCCATGAGATTAAGAGTGTGATCGGCGAGTTTTTGTGTTCTTCTGCGGCGGGTCTTGCAGAACTTAGCTCCGACCGCATGGACAGTTTCCACGAGCTTGTCATTCATATCTTCCACTTCATTTCAGTCTTCTAGGCACTGAAAACGGTTTTGTAACTCGATCTGAAAGGTTTCGGGACTTTGGAACAGAGCATGAGGGGGACGGAGCGTTGACTTCATTAGACGAGACCTCTCCAACTTAACGTTTAGGTTTAGTGTGCCTCTAACCATTCGGTGATCGCTACCAGTTTTCACCCTCGCGATCACGGAGACATCATTGAACAGTTGTCGTCTGGTCGTCATAATGAAGTCAATCTCATTTTTTGTCGAACCGTCGGGGCTCAACCAGGTTTATTTTTTATAGGAGAGGGGGCAAACGAGCATGCACTCACTTGATGGTAAGTGACTACCGCCGCCCATGAACAACTGCAACACCAGGGGAACCAGGGGAATTGCAGATGCGTTGCCGGTCTTTTAAAAAGGAGTAGGCTCTTTTGTTGAAGGTCCCTAAGTTCTATCGGTCCGGAAAAATCGCTGGTGGTAATCGATTCCATAAGGAAGTTGTGCGAGGGAGAAAAGTTCTTCTAAATCGCACAGTGGTGGACCGCCAATCATCCAGATGGTACGGCTGGAATTAGTCCGAACATTTGCTCAGAGCACTCCCCGTGATAGATGCGATAAAATACGCAAAGAGATACAACATCTCTATGCAGTGCCAGTGAGTCAAGCCGATCGGAAAGAACTCGGTCGTCGACGATTCGAACCGCTCTGCGCTGGATGCGGCCAAGTGGAATGAGCTGGTACTGGGAAGCCTCTGCCTAGAGAGTAGAGATAGGAACAGTATTCCATGTGAGGCCGAACCTGCGCCTTGTAAAGTTGCAAGCGGTGTGCCGGCATGAAATACTTTCCCGCTCTGCTGAGCACGGCAAGCTTTTTAGAGGCCATTTTAGCCTTCTCTTCCAAGTGACCACGAAACTGCACGTCATTCGATAAGTCGACACCGAGGATTCCGATACTAGCTGAGGTAACAAGGGGAGTGCCTTGAAACTGAGGAGATACGGCAAAGGGGTTATTTTTAGCGGTTAACGCGCAAACTGCGTCTTCTGGGGATTGAACTGGACTAGATTTAGTCGCCTCCACTTTGTTCAACAGTCTCGACTTCAGACACAAGTTTGTTCCGGTACTCGGCGACGCTTTCCCGAGAAATATTTGCACGGCCGGTGTATAAAGCATCACCAGTGCTGTCATCTGCATAGCAATTAATGTTACTGGTTTGCAATATATCGTTGATATGCAGAAGAAACAACGTTGATGATAGCTGTAGTTATTTGATCGCGATCTTCTGATCAAGATCTGGCGTCTTGTATACTGGTCCAGTCTACCGATGACATATGACATTATGAAAAACAAAAGATTTTAAAAGACTTTCGATCAAAGTTACATCTTTTTCGAGCCACACTGTAGTAGAGCTTTTTAGGTAGTCAGATAAATCAATGTGTATACAACAAAGTAACAATAGAAGTTTCACAATCTAGTTTAAATTTTTTGTTTTGAAATATAAAATACGCAACAAGAACGATTTAAAAAATATGAATTAGCTATTTTATTTATTGATTAAAATAGCTCTAAATTTACATTTTGATATTATAAGTACGTAACAGAATATTCATAAAAATGATAATCCTTTTTTATGGCTGAAGAGATTGTAATGAAAATTCACGAAAAAAATAAAGAGCAATGCCAAGAGTGATCAAAAACATAATTTTTTGTGAAAAAAAAAAGATAAATAAAATGGTTATTAATGATTGTTTTAAATCTAAATAACGCCAAATTAATAAAAACATATTAGAAATTGTAATAAATTAAATTTTTATCAATTTATTTAAAAGAATCAATGCACATATATAATACCTCAGCGAAATTCAAATTTTGGTGCTGAAATACCATTTTGGTACCAAAATCTAAACATCCTAACGCTGCAAACGCAAAGGTATTGTTAAAAAACAGTATTGACGTTCTACCGAAATTTTGGGGTACCTTTGTTTAACGGTACCTCAGTCAATGAAAATAACATATTATAAGCTACTAATGTTTTCATTAATAAAATCAAAATTAATGCAAAATTGAATAAGTTATGTTATTTTATACCTATCATTAATAAACAATGTATACTGCACTTTGTATTTGCATATCTATGTGGTTGTAAAGATAACTGCAATCTTCCCAGGATAGCCATAATTGTTATGTTTGGCGGGCGGATTGGCGATCATAACACTTTACGTGGTAGAGCCATGCTGTAGCTATATTAATAGTATAGTTGTAGCACAAATGGGTCGGCTCGACCTGGGAAGGACCACACTTTCACAGAATACCAGCGTCAAATAGCAGCTTAACGCTTTTGTGTTTCGTATGGTGAGTGTAGAGAAATGGAGACCCTTTTTACTGGAAAAGAGGCATTCTATCTTAGTCCTCATGGCTGACAACGCATCTGCATTTTAATTTGCAAACAAAGATAGATGCAGATGTCTATGGGCCACAGCAAACACCATCAGGTGGACTGTGTGCTCGTTTGTCACCCTAATTCTATAAAAAAAAAGGACTTATTCCTTTGAAGCTGCTCTTCATTACGGTTTTGACTATTTTACACCTGGTGTTAATGAGATGTTCTATCGGCATAACATATTGGAAGATATAAGATCTTTCTGGCATTTCCCATAATTGCCCCTAAAACACTTCTCTTTAATTCTGACATACAGTTGACTTCAGTTTTGTTATGTCAATAACAGAGAATACTATTTAATTAATTTTACTTTATTTTTTAAGTGGTATTATGTTCCACATATATTTAGTTGTTCATCATTTTTTATATTTTCAACCTGATGAGAATACACTTTAAAAAATTTGCTGTGTTGTTCATGTAACAAACCTATTCCGAATTGTTCTGAAATTTTCTAAAGACAACTATACAAAATATTGGAATAAGTTTGTTGTAAAGAAATAGATTCGCTCACCTAGTGTATATGCCACAAACAAGTTGACTGCAGCGATGGCCCATACCCAACTAGGAATGTAATCATTGGTGACATTCTCTTCAGTGAGGGCATGAAATCCATAATCATAGTACGAGAACAGTAGGAAGTTAAGGACTGTCAGTAGGAAGCCAGTGAATGTTAACAGGTTTGGTGCCACCCACACCGGGCAAAACTGCAATCATGTTAATATGATAGATAAACTATGGTCACAATAGTTAACAGTTAGTATATTTTTACATGCTCATGACATATTATATAATTTTTTTTAATAGAAATATAAGAAAAAATATGAATTACGAATTTAAATTTTTTTAAATATGAATTTGTTAATTTTTATGTTAGCTAATAAAATTATAGTTAATAAAGTTATTGAAATTCTGAATATTATTTTTTTTATAATTTATTGAAAAGTTTGGGAAAAACTCAAGTCTCACCTGAGTTTGACAAGTACTTACAAATTTTTCAAAATGTTAATAAACATAAGCTGTGTGTGTTAAGTGGGGTGCAAAAAATTAACAGGTGTTTTTTTTTAAAAAACTCACCTGAACACACCAGTTCCAAAAGGGATGCATAACATAGTTACTAAGTATACTCGTGTCCACTGAGTTATACTGTAAAAAAACATATATTATTGAATTTATTTGCCATTCATTAAAACCTATAAAAAGTCGACAGCTGAACATAGGCCTCCCTATGGATTAGACAAGTAGATATTTGCCATAAACGCCACACTTGACAGGTAACTCGGCAACTGTTCTTTATTACTTTAGTTGTTTTCAGGAGATTTTGCAACCGCCCATCTCCTATTTCTCTTTTCTCTGTTGCCTCTTACGTCACCATAGGGATAACATTAGGAAGGGGATTCGCCTAATTTTTAAATTTTTCTTTATTGATATATATTATGTATGTAATAATAACTTAACTATTTTACATAACATTAATGTACAAAATCTAGAATTGGTTTTGAGGATAACCCCCTTGTAAAGAGTGGTGTATAAAACAGATTTTTTTTAAATTAATTACATACTGGTGATAATTTCTAAGTTCCTGTTGTGTGAAATGAGGAGGCAAAGGGGTCATTTGCAATATATATCAGTAAGCAGGGCTTTGTAAATGCATAGTAATAAGAATTATTTCGACATGTCAATGTCCCCAATATAATATATTGATCTATCTTATAGTAGTCTTTATTAAGCAAATTTCCCTAACAAGTTTTTTATTAAGTAACATCTAGCATATCACCTCGACCCATTCTAACTACAGAAGAGCAGAAGACACTCCAATTTTTTTTAAGAATGTAATTTTTCCATAAATACATATTTTCTAAAATAAACGATGACTGAAGCATCAAAAATTTTATCATTGAAAAGGTAGTTAGTAACCTTTAAAAGGTCAAATAGTAATTTGCAAGATCCCAAGTTGTAGATTGCTTGTATTACTTGCTTTGCAAAATAAACAGTTTACAATTCAGCTGCAGATCTCAAAATACACAAGGGTGTTTAGAGCTGGGTTTTAAGATATACTAATTTACAGTTGAAAAACTCATTTCTGCGATAATTTTAGAATTCATTCTGGAATTTTTATGTACAAATATAGAAAAACTATTTTTATTTTTATGACGTCGCGTGATTTGCAATAAACGCGTAAACAGAATGAGTGAATTAAATAACTTATGTGGATAGAATGTAACATTATTACATAAATCATTTATAGATCGTAAATTCCACTTTTACAATAAAAAATACGTGAATTTCACCTTCATAAATAATTTCAAAAATATAAATCTTAAATACCACGCGTCTTCGAAGTATAATAATTTAGAATTAGTCTAATAAAAACAAGGTCTGTCATACTATTTTTATCTGACTACAAAATACTATTTGAATATATCCCTTTTAAATTTTTGAGCCTCTAAATCGATTGTATGTTTCGTACGGGTAAGCCGGGTTTTATATTAAGAACACTTAATATTTAGAGAATTGTAATATTATTTACTGAAAATAGACAAATGTCCCTTCTGACTATTGATTATTATGGTTCCTAATATTTCGTTTTCATAATATTTACCTTATATCTTTCAAATCCCTCTAATTTATCCTTTGATAGAAACTTTGCCATTTTGTAGAATACTTAAGCAGCAGCTACAAACAAGGTTTCATATTTAAAATATATTTAAATAATGTTTATCAATTTGATTTCTTCGTGATTTTGTTTTTATTGAGAATACGAATTTTAAAGAATTAACTATCTTCTTGACACTTCAATACCATCCAGTACGAAATCATGACTGAATTTTAGGGATATTCGATATACATCGATGCATCGAATTCACTCGATGTTTACAATACGATGCATCGAATCGATCCGATGTTTTGGAAAGCTATTGATATACTCGATGTATCGATGTATTTTCATAAAACATCGAATCAATGATAACCAGTAAATTGTAAATATTATAACTTCTAAATCAGAAAAACTAAAACATGCTCTGATTTAGAAGTTATAATATCTAAACCTTTTGGTGGCGCTAGTTGGCGGCTGTCAGTCCCTTAGCGGAATCAAGAAATTGAGATTGGCTGGTTGTGTATTAAAGAAAATCTAAAGAAAATCGTCTGGTCTGTCTCGGTCTTAAGGTGGCTTCTCACTTTCATGCCACAGGGTAATCTAGGACGAACAGCGATCGGGGCAATATCAGAACTGTCTCTACACACATGCCTGCCATTCTATGTGAGAGTGTACGTCTCGCTGGACACACGCGTTGAGAATGGCGCTAGTTTTATCAAAATATAAATGAATCGGTAAATATAGCCTTGGCTCTTTTTATTTAGAATAAGGGTGACAAATGAGCACAGTCTACCTGACATTAAGTGGATACTGTGGCCCATAGACACCCATATTTATTGATTAAACAACTAATTAATTAATAGTTACACCCATAACACAGTCTTTAAAAGCTGCAGTATGACTCTACCACGTTTAAAAACGTTACGACGTTCAGATAAAATTCTTTCTGCGGTGCTACCGCAAAAAAAGACAAATAGGAGATACTGGGTGAAGAAGCCACCTCTTTATACACTTCTATCACCAGAGTCCAAATTTCATATGTTTTATTGGTATCCATTATGACGTGTGCTGCATGCGAAAGTCGCTTACGAACTGTTTGAAATTGTCCCATTTGCGATACACATGTGGCGTGGTAGCTATGATCTAGGAAGCAAGAAAGGTCTTGCGCCCATGTCGCTCTGCCGCAGGGCCAACTTAGAAAATTGCCCCTGCTTGCATACACACATCACAATTAAGGAGGCAATTAAGGGTCATCCCCACTCCTACACCCTAGATTGCCGCCTTAAGACCATTTAACCTCGGACTCATCTCGCATAATTATTCCCCTCTGCCAAGGTATTGGATTTAAAAGCTTGTGCGTTTATAAAAACTGCTTACGAAATCGATTTTATTATTACAAGAATCGTTTCCGCGGAAGTAGGTGCTCTTTAAAAAATACCGATTGGTCCGATCATAAAGCAGTCAAAATACTTAAAATTTACAAAAGATGGAGTTATATTCCATATGTAAGTATTTTTATTGTGATGCATGCTTTTTTTTTCTATTAAAATCATTTAAAATAATATCGTAAACATTGACCTACTACTAAATGGACCTCGAATCTGCACTCAAGTGTCCGAGTCAAGAGTTCCAAAATGCAAAAAGAGTTGCAATTGCGCGCCAGTCTTCGTTTTGTCGATTGATAATACACTCCAAAATTACTGTATCACAAAACGAGCAAAACTATTTATATTTATATATATTTTCGATAAGGACTATTTTAATAATTTAAAAGTAATATTTTGCTTAGATACAACATACGTAGTATTTAAATTAAATTCACATTAATTGTAAAAACAAAAAATCAAACCGATAATTTTCGCTAGAAGCTGCATAAGATGATAACAGCTTCTGGTTGTAGTTGAAAGGCTGCTAAATTGTCGCAAGTAAGATTATATATATATATATATATATATATATATATATATATATATATATATATATATATATATATGTAAATAATACGTTTTTATAGGTTGACTTGGGACACATTTTTCGTGAATTTTGTTCTTGAGCCGCCGTCTATTTAGTAGTAGGTACAATGACTAATGATCATTAATAATAATTTAATTATTCTTTATTGCATTCCTTAATATAAAATAATACATAGGGCGAACTGAAAATGTGTAGCAGAATAGAATAAAAACAAAATAAATAATAAATAACTAAGATATATATAAATTTTACTAATATATAAAATAAATAAATACAAATATAAATAGTATATATAATTGACTGGGAGAGAATGCCTTAAGGCATTGAGTTCGCCATATATACGAATTTTCTTTTGTGCATAAAAGTAAAAAAAAAAACAATAAATATATAAATAACTATAAATATATACGTCTGTTAATAATAATATTCTTAAGATTAAGATACTTTGTGTTTCGTGCAATAAAGAATATCTATCTAACTGTCTTACATCCTGGAACACTTACATACACACACTCACACACAAACACACACACAACGCGTGCGGACAGACAGTGCCGATGGAAGAGTAGATCATTCAAAATTGTCGATTGTTTGATTGGGGATGTCAGGAAGTTGACTACAGATTTATAATGTAAAGTCATAAAAAGTACTCGATGTTGCAAAAACATCGATGTTTCTAACCGATGCATCGAAATATATCGATGCACAGTCTCGATGCATCACATCGAAAAAAAACATCGATGTATTTTCAAAGTGGACACCCCTACTGAATTTTTTATTCTGTCTCTTCGAGAAATCGAGAATACCAATACTAGTGGTGGTTAATATATCATATAGCAAAATAAAGCACCGTGCTTTTCATACATAACAAATAGCAAATGCTATCGTGGCTCTCACTTCTTGCTATTTGCTTAATGGCTTTTTTACATCGCACTCTCTGTCTCTGTCAGTCGCGCATCACAAAATCGCAAAGCATGAAAGAAAGCAATAGCATCGCGGCGGCCAGTCGTCGCATGCTAGAGATTACTTTCGGTCGCGTAAGTGAGTAAGTGATCGTTTTACGCACCGCTTGCGATTTTGATAATCCGCGATCTCGGGCGGCTCACGTAATATAATATACGTAAATATTATTTTACTTCGTGCTTTTTAGTGTAAATAAACAGTGATAGGACACCTTAATATTTATTAGCTATAATTGTGCAAGTAAGGACAGAGTGAGATATCGTGTTGTTGTTTTGAGTGTAGGTATATTAACAGACGAAAATGTCTAGAAGGAACAGTGATTTACCAATATGGAACTTTTATGAAAAGCCCATTGATGGCCGTAAAACTGCTACATGTAATTACTGTTGTCGAGAGTTGTCGTTTAAAACGAGTGTTAACGAGTAAACGAGTTTAAAATATGTACATATATGTATATACTTGATTTTTGTAAATACAATCAATGAACTTTTAAGTACGCCTATAATTGTTTTAATTAAATACTAATATACTTTATTTCATCATAACACTTAATTAATTATAGACAGTCCTAAGCCTGAAAAGTATGAAGGAAAGTTCATTGTTTTTTTACTGTTCCGTATCGCAATAAATTCATAAACGCGATGCACCGCGGTTGCTACCTAAAGTCGCTCCCGCCCGTTTGGCGCCCGTACCTACTACCTACCTACGCACGGTCGCACGTACGCAGTCGCAGACGTCGCAGTACGCTTATAAAAAGCATGCTTATAATAAAGCATATAAAATAGCTTGCTTAAAATATAAAGCATATAGCATTAAGCAAGTGATTGCCATATAGCAACTTTGAACACTACTAACCAATACCATACGAGTACGAAGGTTACTCTACTCTATGGTAGCTTGCTACATAATTTATTTATTAGTGCTCTATGGACTGACTATCACTAAAGTTGGGCGTTATAACATACAACAGATAATATATTTCATTATATATTTATAATCTTACAACACATTAGAATAATGAACCATTGACTGTTATAATATATTCATTGTCGTTAGAAAGCGCCATCTAACAAAAGTAACAGTGACAATTATCATTTGTGATTTGCGTGTGCGCTAGCTATGAAAATATAATATATTATAGTTTACGGTCTAACCGTCGGATGAGACGCGGCGCCTCTATCGGAGCATACTACATTCATTGTACCACAAGGATTGCGTATGGTTTACACAAATTTATACTCTAAAACAATATTATAAGAATTTATTTTACTAACACTAAAGTATAACGGTAAAGAAATATTTCGTTCATTGCTAGCTGTTGTGCCTGTTGTTTAATTTTTTGGCTGTTATAATATATTAGTGTTCAGTTAGCTGTCTAGCTGAGATGACAATGACACTGTTATCTGTTATAGACATAATGTTTTGATAGTACTCATAGGTCCTCCATATTACGTGACGAAGCTATTGTTTTGTTTGCTTTTCGTTAAGTTTTATACCTAAAGTAATTTTAAATATTTAGTGTAAGATATTATTTAGTGTTTTGTTTGTTTTTCGTTAAGTTTTATACCTAAAGTAATTGTAAATATTTAGTGATAGGATTTTGCGTGTTTTATATAAAAGTGCATAATAATGTCACGCCAGCGTAGCGCAGCCGTTTGGAACTATTTTATAGTCCAAAGTATGGACGAAAAAAAAGCAGTGTGCAATTATTGCAAAAAAACTTTATCTTTCAAAAGTACAATTACAAATTTAAAGCTTCACCTTAAACAAAGACACGTAGGAGTGTATGAACAGTTTTGCCGTTCGGAATCTGAAAGGATGTCATCTGGTAATTTAAATAAGAATATAATTTTGCATGGTGATGAAACTAGCATACATGGTGGCGGTAGGACTCATGGTGACGAAAATCTTCCCTCAGTGCCAACAACCATTTCAGTGCACTCAACAACAACCTCTTTACCTACCCCCTCGACCTCTTTATCTTCGGTGGCGGTAGCAGTGACTAATCAACATGCCAAATCGGTATCAAATGATGGTCCACCGACGAAAACTCAAAGAATGATGTCCTCGTATATACCAAGGAAACTCGGGTCTAATGAGAAATCTCATATAGATAA